TGAAGTGAGATCTGAATCATAGTATTTCAGTTATAACCAATTTCATTAATAGGGGGACCCATTTTTCAGTTTTTTTGAATTTGAGGCGCACCCTGTATATTTTTGAAAAATTGCCAAGAATTTTTTTGGTCTCGTAAACGGGTTTTTAGAATACATGCCGACCCCCCAACCACCCTCCCATTTTCAATAGGTTGCGTCACGGGACAAACCTGGATATATGTGCCAAATATGAAGTCGCTTGCTTCAAATTTCGGACACTTATCGTGTTTCATGGCAATGTTGCGTGGAAGGTTAAAAAGGAGGCAAATTTCAATTTTGCTGCTCCAACGGTTCGAAAGTTATTCAGGAAAAACCAATAGATGAGAACGGAGAACGAGAAGAGACCGTCACCGAGATATAAAATGTTTATACGAGGGCAGATATTTTCGAAAAATTCGATTTTATCGATTTTCGAAAGTAACAAGTTGGTTGCTTTAAGAAATACGCGCATTTTTACCACAGCAATAGCGAGCTTACGTCTCAATTACCGACGTAGACGGTTAATCAAGGGTCGTCCAATTTTTCTACGCGTCATAATCCGCTACAAAGAGAAACCTTGGGAAATTGTGTGCTTTTGTGTGGAAGTGATTCCGCGAAATTTCGGATCATCATTCCTTCCACGCGACTTGGCAGTGATTAGTCTCGGCTTTTGCGAGAAGAGAACGTATTTTCTTAAAAATTCCAGATGTAATTAGACGGATCGTTGCGAGAAAGCTTCCGAGATAATGCGACCTTAGGGATCGGAGATATATAGAATGTGACCCATTTTAATTAAAATCGCACCTGTGGGTTCATAATTTTCAAGTTACTCTTTGTTCTGTTCCCATCAATGACGATTGAGGTAAGAAATTAAAGTTGATAGAGTATTAAATAAATGGATGTGAATTCAGTTCCTGTCTCAAAAATCATTTTCTTTTTAGCGATTTGGTAACAAGCAGTTACAATGGTGTCCTATTTGTCGTCTTTATTAATTGTTTGCCGATGACATGACGTTGTTTTCAATTGTTGAATGCTGTTTCTGAAGATTTAGTAAGAAAAAGAATGCAATTATTGTCAAAAACGCTTTAAAAGTCTAAACGTTATTAAACAATTAAATTAGTATATGTCAGAACGCATTTGACATTTAGAAAACGCTTACCATGCGCACCACATAGTACTTTTGTGTATAAAAAAATCAAGAAAACATAGATACAATAGTATATAATGCCACAAGTACGGTAAACGGCATTTGACTCACCAGTTTATTTGACGCGAGTGTTTAATAAACGAGTGAGTTAAAAAGTTTACCGAACGTGTTGCGTACTATACTTTTTCTACGACCGTTAGTTTTTGGGTACATTTTTGCAAAACAGCACGAATGCATTCACCGAAATGATGGTCAGAATTGACAAACGTCAAAATTCAAAGCGTGGGAAATATCTCCGATTGCTCCCAAACCCGAGCGTGCAATCCCGGAAATATCCGAAATGGGGATCCGTGGATGACGTGGTAAAATGACGCTTCGCGCACGCTAGATCGGTGTGTAATTAGGCATTTTACAGACGGGAGTAGAAAAAAGTTGTTTGGACTCAGTTATGCTTTAACAAAAAATATAATGTTATCGAGTGTCAATTTCTTGCTCTGTTCTAGACATATTTTATATGTAATTATTTACAACCAAGAAAATTGTGTTACAAGTGAGGTTTGCAGGTCTAAATATTGATTTCTGCGTCTGACAGCTATTCTTATATATTTATGATATATTTCCTTACGGAAGTTCTTCTTTAGTGGTCTGTGATGATATTTTGAAAATTTTCATTTGCAAAAAATGAAAATACTCTACAACATTACGGTATGCTTGCATTGAATACATTAAATTAAAAAATAGTTTATTATAATTTGCAACGACAGGAACATATAAAAAAAATAGTTTTTTTGGAAAACAGTTTTCTTGATTACGTGAATGTTCTAATTTTGTTTTCTATTATTCGTTTTATAGATTTTTGTCCATGGGATATTTGTCGGCAAGTGTAAAATTTTTTTGATAAAATTCGTTCCATTCTTATGAATAGAACAAATCTCAAGCACTTCGTTAACAGCTTAATTACGGAGCAGGGAAGTAGGTGCCATTTCTGTAGTGGTTTTGCCATGTTACACCGTTAGCTCCTTGGACATTTCTTAACTGCTAACTTAAATTATAGAATTGGAGTGTTTCCAATTGAAAAAATATGAGTTTTAACAATTTTTCATTTAAATTTTGTAATATCAACTCAGACTATTAAAGTTGTAAGGAAATAAACTTCAAATAGATAGATATATTTAAATCTGCAAATAATATAAGACTTTGGAGGGTATATATGAAATGTGACTAGAAAGTTCCGAGGAATTTAATAATTCTTTAATAAAATAGGGTGTAGTATAATTCAACTTAAACAACGTTTGTCTTCAAGGTTTTTTGATATTTTTTATCCCCAGGTTTCGAAATAAAGTGTAATAAGTAATAATAAAACCAGTACATAAATACGTCGTTCAAGGGCTACAACTAAATCAGAATTAATAAGAAAATGTAAGCTGCAAAGTTTGACAATAGGAAGTAATATTTCATTGATAATTTGCCCTTATAAATTTGATTACAGTAAAATTCATAATATAAATTTAGCGTCACAAACAGTTCTTGTATACAGAACTAAAAATTCATTATTGTTTTACCAAAATAACTAACCTAAACTAAAATTTGTAGTAATGAAGTGTGATAAAAATTGTTGTGCACTTGTGATAAATCACTGAACTGGAAATTTTATCCTCTTTCCAAAAATCGAAAAATCTAATATGGTGATTACAAAAACAGTGAAAATTAAGGCGCATTGCGGGATAACAAAAGATCTTTTACTCGTCTTAAAAAAAAAGTCTGAACAATGTCACACTTTGACAGCTGTCAATTTAACCGTTTTGGATTTACTAGCGGAAAACGAAATCCGCCGTTACAAAATATGCTAAGTTTTCTTTAAAACTTTTCCCTTTTAACCTTTGCAGGAGTGGAAATCCCTGGATAGAGAAGCGAATCTAGGACACATTTTATGAACAACATAGCACAAGTAAGGAAAATACCCGCCTAAAAGAGGTATAAACTCCAAAAGAACTGTGTCAGTGAAATTTTTTTTGCCGACCCACATCGTGGCAGTAAAGGTTTGAACAACGATTTTTGTCAATACCTTGGAGTTAAAGAAAGAAGTCAACAGATCAACAGGTATTACTTGCTCCGTCCGATCCAACTAATAATACGCTTTCCTATAAACGAAAATAAACAAGGTGACTGCCTCATCTGCTCTGAAAGCCAAGGAATCGAAGTAGTTCTGAGATTAGTAGTTGTGTTAATAAATATTTAAAGTCTTTGCCAGTATCTACCGAAGAAGTAATGTTTTTTAGCGATGCGGTGATCAAGGCGTACAAGAAATTGAAAATATCGACGTAAAAAATCTAAAGTTTTTAGTAGTCGGAGAGACACTGTGGACAGAAGATTTTAAGAATGTAGTTTGTAGTGCCAGAAGAAAAAGAGACAAGCCATTACATTGATATTAATGAAACAATTATAAAAAGCGTGTTTGCTGGAAGCTAGGAAAAAATATGGCCGTTGCGATTTATCAAATCAAAACCATTTATTACGGAGTTTAAGGAAGCCTTTGTGGATAAATGTAACAAAATTTTAATAAAAAAATGAACATATGAAACACCAATTCGAATACCTGGGACTAAGTGTCAAGATTTGAAAACACTATTTACATTAGAAGCTTCAGCACTTAATGAAACATGTAAAACCCAAGATACTTTTTTCGGGAGTGATGAGCAAATCACCGATTAAAACGTATTATAATTCTTGAAATTATATTATGATATATTATTCTATTAAATTAAATATACCAAAAAGACTAAACGTGTGTTCCCTATTTTTTATTGCGCCATAATAATAATCAAAAATAAGGTAAGTTAATTTGTACTAATAGAGGAAAGGCACCTAATAACTATTAATTTAATTCATTAATTATATTTAACCAATTAAATAAAAAATTTCAATCTTGACCCATAACAAGAGCTACATCCTCAAGTTGGTACAAGGGTACGTCTAGTGATTTAAAGCATAATCGATATTGCAAAATTTGACATCCCGTCTCAGAATGGCAATAAAATTGGCGTGATATCACACATTCGAAATTCATTAAAAAAAATTGTTTTCAAAAATCAATAAATACAACAAATAATCCTCTAGGTTCAGTAATATCGTACAGGCTGATAACAAATTCAAAAAAATATATCTAAAATTTTAATGGCCCATACTCTCAGGAGCAAATTAATACACATTGTCTTTTCTCTTATATTTCTTTTTTTATACGTTTAGGTTAGGGATTTCCAAAAAATATGTGGTAGTAAATTTTCATTAAAATTGCCTAATTTCCCACCTAGTTCCACTCAACCGAAAATATAATTAAATTATTTGAAAAATAATTTTTCTGAGACAAAGTGGCTTCTATGCAGCAAGTTGAACAATTTTCGGAAGTTATGGATGTATAGATGTATATACGATACCTTCTGTAACTCAAAATTTAGTTCGGCATCTGAATAATGTAACCATCCTATAAAAAGTATCGAATTGATAGTAGTAAAGTATACGTTGTAATTGTAATTATTACTTTAATAGCAGTGTGTTATGTATTTGGATGTGCATCATTAATGGTACGGAGATAGTTGACCCCATGATTAAGTTTTATTTTACCAGAGAAGTTTATGGTCAAATAAGTAAATAAAATATATACATCGGTATAGCGCCAACAAAAGAATATAAAGAAAAAAACCTGTAGTCAAAAGACACCCTTATAAAGATATCTCTTATTAAAGTGATCATCCTGTATATAACCGAATACAAAATCATTGCGAAATTTTCAAATATCGCTCGCGAACAACCACTTGACGAAACGGATGTTTCTTACCTATCACCCCCATCCGTGCCGTTACTTTTCCACTTCATCAGAGCGATTCCTTGGCCGATCTCTATGACGTCACGGCTCAATGCTCTATCAATGGCCAGCAGACTCCTGCGCTTCAGGCATTCCTGCAGATGATGGTAATGATTCCGCTGCAGATGCGGTCGCAGACACTTTTGCAAAAGCAACGTGGCAATTTTACCCAGCTCGTGCCACGTGCCGTTGACGATAATTTTGCTGCAGTTCGCGGGAGGATTGTCCGGAATAATCAGGAGCAGCATGAGGGTAATTGTGGCCGAGAAGTTGGCAAGAAGCATTCTGAATTCGAAAATAAAAATTATTATCAATAACTTTACCATACGAGCTATATTTTCATGTCAGCAGAAAAGTATGTTATTTTGGGAAATGCAAATCAACGACGTAAACACTTGATAATTCAAATTTGTGCTACTACTACTATAAAGATAATCGTGAGAGGAGATAATTTAATAATTAAATAAAATTTTTAATGCAAATGTTTGATAGACTGTTGAGATATTTTAAATACGGTCGAGTTCGGATATAGTAAAGCCGTTTATTGTGAACACTCCGTTATTCTGAACACTTTTTGAATTACTATAATAATAAAATTTTTACTGTTTATAGTGAACTTTCGGTTACAGTGAACTAAATTTCGTCAAGATTAAGATACATTTTCCGTTTTTAATGAACTTTAGATTTCGTGAAGAATATTCAAATGGAGAAGGAAAAACGAAAAGCATCAACTATGAAAGAAAAATACGATGTTATACAAAAAAAATAAAAAAATTCTCCAAGGTTCGAATAACAGTTCTGATTACTGCAAACATGTCTGGGACAGAAAAGAGAAAACTGTTTGCTATCGGCAAATCAGTAAACCCAAGATGTTTTAAGAACAAGCCCCTACCAGTCAAGTACAGTTCAAACAGCAAAGCGTGGATGACATCTGACTTGTTTACCGAAGAGGTGCTCCAATGAGATACAGAAATGAAGAAGAAGAACAGAAAAATGATTCTTCTAGTAGATAATTGTCCAGCACATCCCAATGTTCCGTTGAACCAAATCAAACTGGTTTTTATGCCACACAATACCACTTCACAACTGCAGCCCATGGATCAAGGCATAATCCATTTCCCGAAGTGTCACTAGTGCTTGACAAGAAGTTAGCAAAAAACACAATTGCAAACATGCAGGATTATTTGAAGCAGAAGATGATTTTGACTCTGATGATGAATTGCCTCTAACGGGATGCCTAAAAAACATTGATCCCGAAAATACCCAGGAAACTACCGACACCCAGAAAGCCCTTGAAGCAGAGATTATTCAAGTTATTCCAACCGAATCTTTGACAGAAGAAATTATCCCGTTAGCATCAACAGGTACATGAAATGTAACATTAAAATAATGACTGATTTATGTTATTTTTTTCAGAAACAAATGTAGAAGAATAAGAAAAGAAAAAAGAAAAATAAAATAATAAACTGCGCAATTTTGCAAAAACAATTTAAAGTATTTTACGCTGTGGATAATAATCATAATAATAAAACACGTAAAAACTAAGAACAAAAGAATGAAACAAAAAAGAACTGTCTAATTAATCAATTAATCAACTCATTTATCGCTTGAAATGTCTCTCACAGTTCGATAAACGTTCTTTAAACGATTTTTTTGCATGGCGAACTTAAATTTTGTATGTGTGTATGGATAATCTACATTTGCAGTAAAAGATGCGAACTGAATACATTATTTTACAGTTCAATAATATTTTGGGCATTGAGGAAGGCAGAATTCCTAAATTAATGGAAAGAAAGGAAACAAAATTACTAAATTAAAAATTTACCTATTTATTTTTATTTTTCTTGACTTATTGTCATATTTTCTGATAAAGTTTTGTTCGCAAAAATGTGTATACCTCAAAAAATGCCAAGTTTAGATATGCTTAACAAAATTGAAAAGGTATTAATAGGAGTGATTAATGGAAGGATAATATACAGGGCGATCCATTTCATTTTTCACTAAAATTAATATTTTTCATTTTGCCTCATCATATATAAACGATTCGAACTTATTTCAAAATAAGTGTAGAATAAATGACTATAAAAAAAAGGAGTACACAGGGCATTTGTTACGAAAAACATGGCTATAAACAGTCGATACTGAACATAATTACCCAACACTGAGTGATTGAATGTAAAAAATTAGGGCAGTAATACACAGGGTGTTCCATTAAATATTAAATATTAGAAAATAATTTTAAAATGTTTTTTTTTGTATTATCTATAAATTTTTTATTTAACTTTTTTGTTCTAAAACAGATAATAAATGGGACATGTTACTTTTATATTTCAGTTTTAAAACTAACAGTTTCAGTGAAAATCGTTTTTTCGATTATTAATGAATTATTTATTATTAATACTATTATTTATTTATATTATTAATTTCTTCAGTAATTTTTTGTGTTGGTTCATTGATGTAATAATTGTTCTGATTTTCATATACTTTATCATTAATAAATACAATTTTCATCGCGAAAAAAAAGCCAAGTGGTGTTACATCCGGACTTCGAGGCGGCCATATTATCTCTCCATTTTTTACAAATGGTTAAATTAAGGTGTGTACATATAAAAAACCTCTTATTTCTTTCCCACATTGAAATGGAGCATTATTTTGTGAAAAAGCTAAAATCTCGAGCAAAACTGCGTATGTCTAGTAAATAGGTAGAATTTTGTAACAAATTTAAGAAAGTTTATCTATTTTCTTGTTTATAATGTTTTTCTACAGATCATTATTGACTTTAGCTATAGGACATAGACGCATGAAACGATACGTATTTTTAATGTGCCTAACATTAAGTAATTACAGAGGAATTCATTTAAAGAAACATAAATGCATGTTATCAATTTTTTTTTAATTTCTATTTCCATTGATACATATGACTGATAAAAGTAGGAATTAGCACCGAAAGGCTAATTGAAGTTTTTGAACAATAGCTTACGAAACTCGATTTTCCAGAAACGCCTCGCATAACGTCAAATATCTTAAAAATTATGCAAGAGTTTAAATGAGAAAGTTAGATTAATGATACAGAATTTAAAAAAAATATTATACACTGTATACAGGAAACTACGATATCTTAAGATATCTCAAAAAGGTATGAAACTTTTGTATTATACCTTTTTCTCTATCTCTGCTATGGGCAGTTATATGTAGAACAAAATACAGCAATCGCATGTCTTTATTCTAAACGAATTCTTGAATGTTAACCATGCAGTATAAATTGCCTGAAATAAAAAATTCAGCAAATTTATGAAAAATTGCCAAATAAGAACGTTGATTTCTAGCGAATCACAGTATCGAAGTAGTTTCTAAAATGTTTAATGATCCACAATAAAATATTATTGTGTAGTTATTATAAACTTCAAAACTAAGATACAAAAATAGCGATAGAAAACACTTAAAGTAAAGGACAAAGTTAAATATTAGCCAAAAATTAAAAAGGTTATTGGACGATACATTTTTTTTGTTAATTTATTTCTAAGTATTGTTTATATGAGGTATTCATATGCTTAATTAGCCTTTAAGCCACAGTTAACAGTTGAAAAACAAACGGATATGGTACCGATAATATACTGACATATGGTATTTCCGATATGCGTTGAATGCATACTATGATATATATATTTTTGAGAAACGTAATAGTTTTGGTTAGTTACAAAAACTGAATTTTATACCGATTTGAGGAGTTAAAGATATATAACAATTTCACCATCGCCCTGTAGCTCGAAAATGCAGATTAATATGACATTTTAGTTGACGACAAAGCTAGAACATTTGATGATCTTCCAATATCCTTCCAATGAAAACGATTTAGCAATAGAATGGCACATTAATAATGATTTTTTTTCTGGATTGTCTTTGATTTCATTGGCTGTACTTCACTTTTCTGTTTTCAGCTAAGAGTACTAGAGAACAACAGATTTATTTGAACTGAGGAGGCTTTTACTTGATGAAAATCCATTTATCAAAATAAATAAGAACTAAAAGTTCAGATTTTCACGAAATTATATATTTTGGCATTACAATTGTTTCGACATTTTTTTTTTCGTTCTTCCTTTATCCATTTCGTCTGGCCTTGGATCTAGGCTTCCCTTACAGCGGGACTTCTGTTGGTTTTTAATTTCATGAAGTTTGGAAAAACCTTATTTTGCAGACATTTGTTAAAAAAAAACAAATGTTTTGGGAACATATTCGGCAACGTAGAAGTAATTTAAAATACCAAATAGCCAAGAAACCAATTTCGGCTGCTTTCAAAAATTGAACTGAGGAGATAAACACACGGTGTTGTCGAAACAATTGTCATGTCAAAATATATAATTTCGTGAAAATCTGAACTTTTAGTTCTTATTTATTTTGACAGATTTATTTCCAAATTTCATTATGTAGTATTGCATAATGTGTCAATGAACAAAATAAGAATGATATTGCCAATGAATTAGCAAATTGTCTTCGGCAACTTAGGATATGGAGATAAGTTTGACAATATTTTCAACGTTTTCAGTAGTCGATCTTTTCACATTTCTGTTATCGACTACTTAAATAAGCAATTAAGTGCAAGGTGCTATACTTTGCTTAGTTATAATTAGTCAAAAATACATATTACAAATAATATTTAAATAAGCTTTTGATTGTGCAAAAAGAATGCAACTTACGTTTATGGAAATGCAGTCCAAATCACTAACCTCGCTAGGCACAGAACTAAAGACTACGATTTCAAAAAAATCCGATCACAGCCTGAACGCATTTCCGGAAGGGCACTTGCCATAATGTCATATCCGCGGCGAGTAAAAAATGCAACGAATGCACACGACATTATTATATATTTAGCAACCCGTGGGGGTGTGGTAGTTGTCATGTGGTGCGTGAAAATTACCTTAAGTTCAGTGTCTTGGAACATCCAGGATACGTTACTAATATCTGTTAATATCGCTTTTCATATTAATGGCAGCGGCGTTTCGGAACGTTTTTAGCGGGTCAGTTTTAGCTGGTTGAAACAGTTTAAACTCGCACATGTTAATTCTACTGGTTCTGTGTGCATGAAGCAAAATTCCAACAGTTTCAACTGAATTCGACCAAACCGATTGAAACCTTTCCGTTCAATGCGGCTATATTTGTGTTTCAGTGAGTCGACTAAATCTTTGGCAAGTAAACCTATTAAGTCTGGCTCCTCCTCTCCTAAGAGTACTTAAATATAAGGCCCCACTTTTTGATATCGTTTAGCTACAATGCCGCCAAAGAAGCTCCAAATGTGCTTTAAAAAAATTATAACGTAGTCATTAAAGTAATTCGACAGTGAGTTGTTTCTTTTAGTCTTTTTCAGATTGCTAGTTTCTATTGTTGCACTTTCTTCCATTTGTAATTATATTTTCTTTTTGCACTTTAAAGGTAACCATTTGTTAATGTAATTATTATTATTATCAAGTTGTCAATACCAAAGTGAAAAGGAGAACTTTGGAAACATTATTGGCCGCCAATCGTAATGAAGCTACTGGCTACTTTGGCGCTTTTCGAAGTCATTGTAAAGAAACTAATAACAGTAAATGACGAAAATTTATTTCGATTCTAAATATGATCTGACATCTTAAATAAATTTGAGTTTTATTTCTTTAAATTCGAAATAACCAGATATAAGCAACAACCCGTAAAATACAAATAAATCCCAAAATCCCACTTTATTTAGTTATAAATCCTTTCATATATTATTTTAGGTTAGGATTAATGTAATGATGGCGTTTTAGAAACTTGGAAATAATTTCCAGTATTGTTTTTATCTTCTCCTTTTTTCAAATGTCTAGGACCATCAGTTTCCGCAGTACCATATCTCGTTGCCCTTATTGGAACACCCCGACTTTTAAGCATATCTATGGAGATCATCGGCAAACTATGAAGTCGTATCACGGCGTCAAGGTCACACTTATTTCAAGGCAAAGGAGAACCGAAGTTAACACCACTTATTGAAATTTTCATTAAAGAAATATGTTCGCATTACTGTTAGGCGAATGTTTCTAGGACGCCACTGAAATCAGTTTCGCGAAGAGCTAACGATTTCTTGACGATGCATGTAGGATATTATTTTAAAAATACGTATCTTGCTTAAGCGTTGGTCAATTTTTTTAAGTAATTGATTGTTTTTAACCCATTTACAAAATTGCTATAAATTATATTTCCCGGACGCCATCATTTGCCTCTGCTTATTTTAGATATATATGATACCTGTCATATTAGACAATGAAAAGTCGGATTCAAACAAAATTCACAAGCTGTTAATACAGGAAATTATTTAAACTAAGATAAGCGTTAATATGGTTTGTCTACCCGTATAGGACATAAACAAAAAAATAAAGTACTGCTCGGCGAAAAGCATCAGTACAAAAATATTAACAAAAATTATGGAATCGTTTTTCTGACATAGAGGCTGGTATGAGGCGATCTTACGAACTAAGCACTGGCACAATATCTCTGAAAATAGATAAATAGGTTATAGTAAACTTTATTTGGCAAATTGGGACAAATATTATGGCACTCTTTAGATACAACTGTTTTATGGATTTCTTGCAATTCAGAGGTATAACTTAGGGAGAAAATTTGTTTGGATTTACTTTACCTTTAAGTTATTATATTGTTATTTACAGGTGCTTATATTTTAGTGGAAAACAAAAAAGGTTCCTATTTTATTAGAACACTTTGTTTTTAATGCATTTTTTAAAAATTTCTCTGAACTTCGCAGGCTTCATTTCTCCAACTGAAACTCTATGTTATATATTTAAGGTTGATTTTATTATAGAAAAGGGTTCGCTTTAGTGGTCTGTTTTGATATTATAAAAATAAATTAATGCTGGGTTATCAAACTACCTAAAACTGACATTATAATTTTAAATGAAAAAATCATTAAAAGTGTCTTTTTTTATTTAGCATTTAAAAGAAAAAAATTATAGATTTCGAAATATTGGCATCAATAAAATATATAAAGCATGGCGACAAAAAAATCGACCACTGCAGAGACATGACTCTTTTCGATTGCTTGATGTTTGGAAATTAATTTTTAACAGAAATTCTTCTAATATATAATATAATATGTTTTCCTAATAGTCGACGCATTCTTGGGCCTCTTATCAAAAGTATAATATTTTCTAAATAATTTCAAGCAGTATATATGTAAGAAAAACTCACAACGTCCTTTTTTAATATTTCTAGCCTACGTTAAGCGGTTTGAATGTGTCTGGCGCATTCACCAATAAATTAAAAAAAAAAACAAGTAATTGCGGTTTTGAAGGACTTTTGGAGTCATACAATGTGTTCACTGAATGTGTACAGGAATAATCTTTGTTTGGAAGTATATTTGCAATACCTTATTTCTATTCTTTTTTTCTTTAAAGCTGGGATATGTTGCTTTTTTCATTTTTTTAGTGTTATTCCTCTTCTGTTGCAATAAAACAGTTGTGGAGTTTCCATTTATGAAATAAAAATAAAACTTTGTAAACTAATGATACCAAAACATAATGCAAAGAGTCAGTTATCACTATAGAAACATTTGCAAATCACTTGACAGGAACTGATGACATTAATTAATTAGAGACAATGTTTAAGCATATATTCCAAAAAATACAGCTATCAACTTTAATTTTTATATAATAAACGTGCTACCATATATGACCTATATTTACCATTACAATAGCTTAATATCAAGCAATTTCCAAATAGAGAAAAACCTGAGAAAATCTGCAACATTTGGCCAGTCAATATGGACTCATATAGCATTACTAATGCAACATTTTGAATAGCAACTGTATTGCAATTGAGAGAAGTGGGAAATAAAAAGTAACATTAAGCAGAGAATGATAAGGGCCTGTGCCACTGCATTATCTTCTCTTGGCTGCTAAGACACCAGGGGAGAAAAACCTGCACATTTTTTGTAATCACACTGACAATCTATTCCAAGATGTTAGTTACCGATATTTTAACCATTTCACCCCATAAATTTAATTTTACATTGAAGCTATGACAATTCAGTAAAATAATTAATAAACTGTGTAATTAGTGTTTGCACTTATTTGATTTTATTTTATAAATAAAGTGGTTTATATTTCAATAGAATATTGTATAATATTCAGATCATTCTGGACATCTATAGAGACAAATATGCCATTAATAAAATTTTACAGTTATATTACACTTCCCCAAAATTCATGTGACTAGTAGCTTTAGCATGATGTTGCGCCTCTACTTGTCCCTTTAGAAATGTATTGCAAACTAAACATTTTAAGGTGAATTTATTAACATCAGTAAACTGCCTACTGGATTTTGCTTCCTGTGCCAACAATTCAGCTTCTCGCAAAACCATCTCGTTGGTGGTTTCAAAGAATGTTGTTATAGAATCACCCTAAAATTCATTTATTTCAAAAGCAGTATTCTTGCATACATAATTACTTACATTTAAGGTTTCCAAATAAAGAGGATCATAGTGAATACCATCAAACATCAAAAACACCCTCAAGGGAAAATTTTGATCTTCACCAAATCTATTTATGATTGCATTAATAGTATCCACAACGGCTATTTCAATACCATAGTAACTACTCAGAATTGCCAGTTCAATTGCCCCACCCCACGACTTATCATCTTGTATCCATGAGCAATATTCTTCAACTGGCTTACCTAGAATGGCTGCATCATACTTGTGACTTTCATTCCGTATACTCTCTGCGACAAGCTGCCTTAGAAAAGGGGCAGCCTCACCAGTCTCATCCACTTTTCCATTGAGAACAAAATGTACACTAGTAAAAAGGCAAGAATTATCAGCAGGCACTACATGTTTCATTAAAATTCCCGGACAATTGTAAAGGTTACCATCAGTGGGTAATTCTAACCGCTGTTCAATAGTGGTATCTAGTTCATTATTTTGAAGTGAAGACACGACTGGCTCGACTGTGGCCTTTTCTTCTAATATTAATGTATCCCCGGAATTCAAACCACTATCATTTAAATTCAAGTCATCCTGGGCAATATTGAACACTTTTGGTGGAAAACCACAAAGAACGTGGAGTCTACTAACAGGTATACTTGATAAATTCGACAGCACTTCCTTAAGGTCTTTGATTGTATTGTTTTTAGTAAGACTATTAATAACTTGCTGCCCACTTTTGGTTTTGACTCGCAGAACAATTTTTGCCATTCTGTAAATTTTACTAGACTTTAATTTTTTATTAATTTAACTAGAACACAAAAATAACTAAATTAGTGCATAGAATGTACACAAAATACAAAATGTCAAACCTCAAATTATCATTGTTGACCTGGAACATATCCCAACAAACTACCAAATTATTGAATGTCCTTGAAGTCCTTTTCTGTATGTCATTCTGTTATCTGGACCATAGAATCGAATTCTTTCTAATTTGCAGCCGAAAAGTTAGGCCAAATTGCAAGGATCATTGGTCCATTTCCGACCACCATGAAGGATTCCTTTCATTTCGATTATGGACCGACGAATACTGTTTAATTTTTAATATTGTTCACTTACTAAGCCATATACATGGAGTTTAAAATAAAACAATCTTTGAACCCTATAAACACTACAAAACGGTTTATACCATAGGATAATATAGTCATTCACCCAGTGGGGACACAATTTGAGAAATATATTTTTAATATCCATTGCACAAAAATTTTAAAATGAATTGGACGTTTTTCACAACTCGATCTTTGACGCCCCAACTCCCCCAGCAACCGCGATTCATTTGGGTATTATATAATTTTGTTCAGTAATTTTCCCAGTTAATTTTAGAAATCGCTTTTTAAATTGAAACGCCAATTTTCTATAACTTAATACTTGAGTTAAGAGTGTTTTACTTCTCATTGTTCTTAAATGCTAAACCATTCAGAAAATATTTACTTGTGCCAAAAATCCCTTTCCTTAAAACCTATGCTCCGTGACACTATTGACCAATTGACATTTGGCCAGGGAACTGAAATAAAAGAAACGAAATGATTGAAATGTCACGGTAAAGAGGAACATGAAATGTAAACGCCATGGCTGTTCTGCAACTCCAAAGTTACAATAATTCAAACAAAAAATCACTGGATGGAAATAAATCTTACGCTGATGACAGTAACTTCAGCGACGCAATGTCGTCGGACAGCGATGAAGATGTTATGGATGTTCAAGAACAATTAAAGAATATTGAAAATGTAATCAGTTTAACTAGGGCTAATATTGAAGCCCTCATTGCCAAGTTTGCTGATTTCCAACATCCTCCCGCTATGTATCTTAAAGAATATGACGACCTGACATCAAAATTACACGAATTAGAAGAAAATAAAAGAAAATTAACAGATCAATTAAGTAATGGAAGAGAAACCCCAGATTTAAGTTTTAGCGAGCCACAACTTGAACATAATAAACAGAAAGTGCCGAGACCTCGTTTCTTGCGTGCATTTTTGCCAAATAAACAAAGAACTAGCGTTCAAGTTCGAGAAGGTTTGACACTGAGAAAAGCCTTAGCAAAAGCAATGAAACTAAGAAATTTAAGTTGTGAAATGTGTGTGGTGTATATAGGCGACGCTGAGTCTAAAGTAACGGTGAACTGGAATGTTGACATTAGTACCTTACAGTGTGATGTGATTACTGTGAAAATTTTAGATAAATTTCCTATTCCTACTAGTATATCTCATAATTTTGTTAGAAAGACGTTTTTTTCAATAGTGTTCTGTGAATGTTGCCGAAGACTGCTTTTTCAAGGCTTTTATTGTAGGACTTGTGGCTATAAATTTCATCAAAGATGCGCCGCTGGAGTTCCATCATTGTGCCATCAGGTAAACCATAAAGGATAGCATAGAGAATTGAGATTTTCCTCTGTGTATTTAGTGAGAAGTTTCTGCTGTATAAATTTTAAAGCAGTCTAAAGGTTTTTCTAACATGTTGAAAATATTTTTTCTTTAGACCAAACTGCTAAAAGTTTCTGTCTCAAAAATTGATACCACCACTTCATTCATTGTAAACCTTGGTAGGTTCGGATGGCAGATGCTTACTACAGAGCCCTTCTAGCCCAGCCTCCAGATTCCAGTGCAGGCATTTTGCATGCAGGACAGGCAGGTTTAATTACTCGTCAAACAACCAGACAGCCAGGTTCTTTAGGTCATCAGGATAGGGCTAGTTCTGCACCTAATGTGTGTTTGAATAGTGTTAAAGGATCTGGGGAAGAATGCACCAGGCCATTGCCTCTTCTAAATAGGTCAGCACTGGAACATGACTCTCCTCATTGCAAGAGCACCCAGGCATCGCCCACTGGTACGATATTAATTTAAAAAACTTTGAAATAGTGTTTCTGAAATTGTGTAAATTTCTGTGACTATATTGTTAAAGATTTATTTATTTTAGGTTCCCATCAACCTAAAAGGCCCAGAGCGCGGTCAGCTGACGAAAGCAAACCGCTATTGGCAGCTAGGGAAAGCATAGAAGACTGGGAAATTCCCGCAGATGAGATATTGGTAGGCACCAGGGTAGGTTCGGGATCATTTGGGACGGTGTACAAAGCTCATTGGCATGGCCCCGTTGCAGTGAAGACATTGAATGTTAAAATTCCGACGGTAGCACAGCTGCAAGCCTTTAAAAACGAGGTTGCCGTGCTACGAAAAACAAGACATGTAAACATCCTGCTATTCATGGGATGTGTTAGCAAACCACAGTTGGCTATTGTTACTCAGTGGTGTGACGGTTCTAGCTTGTACAAACATTTGCACGTTTTGGAAACAAAATTCTTGTTGTTTACTTTAATTGAGATTGGAAGACAAATAGCACAAGGTATGGAGTATTTACATGCCAAGAACATAATCCACAGAGACCTTAAGTCTAATAATATTTTTTTACATGATGATTTGACCGTAAAAATAGGGGATTTTGGACTGGCAACTGCCAAAACCAGATGGTCAGGGTCGCAACAGTATCACCAACCAACTGGTTCTATCCTGTGGATGGCGCCAGAAGTTATCAGGATGCAAGAGGATAATCCATATAGTTTTCAGTCTGATGTCTACGCTTTTGGCATTGTTATGTTTGAAATGTTGACGGGACAGTTGCCTTATTCGCACATAAATAACAAAGATCAAATTTTGTTCATGGTCGGCAGAGGTTACCTTAAACCGGACTTGTCAAAGTTGAGAACGGATACTCCGAACGCCTTAAGAAGGTTGACTGAGCAGTGTATAAAATTTAACCGTGACGAGAGGCCTTTATTCAGTCAAATTCATGCTTCATTAGAAAACCTACTGAGGAACCAACCAAAAATAAGCCGGTCGGCGTCGGAGCCCAATATGAACCGGACAACGCTATCAGACGATTTCACGTACAGCTGCGCGAGTCCTAACACGCCCGGTACATACAATAGCAATTTCTTGTTTTATGGTGGCGCGGGGAACATTTAAACATATAAAATGCTTACTATTTGCTGCAGATTCGGTAATAAAAATTAGTCTGGGTGAAGTGAACAATTCAGACACCTATGTTGGCAATTTAATTTTAGCAATCGGTTTTTGATACCGGCTAGCAAGAATTCACAATCCAACAAATATTTCAGATGTGATATCACAGAAAAACTTTTACTTTTATCGCGGATATTTAAATTGATTCCAAATTTTGCTTTCAAAATTATTTATTTGGGTTCTGTTCTTGTATGCTTATAAGTTAAGTATGTATAGCTTTGCAGCTAAGGAAAATAGAAAGGCTTCAGCTGGTTTTGATGAAAAAAAAAAACAAACTAGCGATTTAGCGGTTTTATTTCCTTACAGTTGTAAAGCAAATTTGTGAATGCATACATTCTTTTGGACGAATGTGGGCAATTTCTAAAATTTGTGACAAGGCCTCACCTTAGAGCGGTCGCTAGAGCTTTTCTTGAACAGCTTTTAATTTTAATTTTTCCAAGAAACATCCACAGGCTACTCTAATACTATTTACGCAGGAGGAATGCAGAATGCAGATCGTTTCCATGATTTTGGAAAAACAAATAATTTTTTTGCTTTTTACTAATTAGGACGTTTATTTTATCGAGCAGTTATATGGAACAAGATGGAGAGGACATTTAATTAGTTATTTCAACCGGAGCTTGTAGAAATTGGTTTTGAACATGGCCGCTGTCAGTTGATAAAGTCCATAGTTTTGTTTTCCACGTTGTTCCATCTAAATCAGAGATTACCCACATTTTCTGATACCTTCCTATGAATATGTTATTGCATCATCATTTTGATCACATTGAGTACTGCAAAATTATCATAAAAATTGCAAATTGTAAAAAGTATTTATTGATTTGAATTTAATTTTTTTATATTGATATGATAATGTTTTGTTTTAATAAACTTATTGATCGTTTTATTTATTTGCTCACATTGTTTTCCCATGCTGGAAAATTGTATAAAAGGTGTCTTGGCATATTAAGAAACAACTGATAAAACTAAGTTAATTTATTTAAAATCCTAAATTTAAAAATTCCTATTACAAACACAAAATTCATATCACAGACTCAAATCCTGGTTTTGTTAGTTTTTCTTTCCATTAATTTTGCTGATTTTGCTCCTTGAAATATTGTCAAAAAATAGTAAACCTGCCGCTTTCTCTATGCTATCAGGTGGCACCTAAAATATTTTATATTCAATAAAGTACATTTCAACTACAACAGCAACTATGGAATAAATCAGGGAACAGAAAGGCAGAGATTCTCTATTAACCAATATTAAGGCATTATTCCATTAAAAACATTAAGAGCTCTTGCATCAACTTTTTTAATTAAATTTCTCCAATTTTTGCATATTCATCTGTTTTACTGTGAAAATAAAAGTATGAAAGGATTATACTTCAACAAAGCGTCAAGAACAAGAAAAAAAATCAAATATTGCTTTCCACAGTACTCACATAACATAAATTTGAGTTCTAAAATCACATAAACTACTATTTTATCAACTCCATGTTTAAAAACAGTACTCAGATGACTTTTAATATGAACCACTAGGCGTTTAATAAATCTCAAGATAGATGGCACTCGAGTCATAAATTCAAATTTAGAACACAAAAGTTATTGAACCGGAATTCAGTGTTTACTTAAAGGATTAACCAAAAATGTGCATTTTTTTAATTTGATCATAGACATAAAATTTTATGAGGTGAACGGTCTAAATCATTTATTGCGACAAAAAAGGTTAAGAATTTATAGATAACTTTTAAAAATGAATGTGATACAGTGCTGATATAGATGAAATATTGTAGGTTCTCTCTTAATGACAAATTATATCAAAAATATTAGATTATTAATTAATCACCTGCGAAAACAAAAAACATAAAAATCACAGTTAAAACAGAACCACCCTTTTCTCAAATAGATACCTGGAAACTGGTTAATGGCACATCATTGTCTATCATGTGATTGGGCATTACATAAGATTCCATTTCCAATTTTCCATCGGGGCATTCTCCCACAACAACTTTGTAAAAGTGAGTAGGCACAGCCACATGATTGGAACCAATAACTTCATATTTCACATAGTATTTTCCATCAGACTCTCTCCTAAAACGACACTGTTGACCCATAACAAATAGGCTTTTTGCTCACCCACTTGCACACCGAGGTAAATACAGGGGACCTGTACAACAGTAGACGTTGCTATAAACCCTTGTTAGCTTCCTAACATGCTTCTCCAAGCGGTTCCAAGAGTCTCTATTGAACCCTTTGCCTACTTGTGGAGCCATATTTGATAAAAAGAATGTTTGCTCCACATGCTTTTGGTGAGACTTGTGGTTACCAGCTGCAGCTAAATGTCCTCTGTCATAACCAGACTTTTTGTAATCTGCATTTTCTGACCTGAAATAGTGATGAATGCTTTCATCAGGTTTAAATTCACATTTGGATCTATCAACTTCTGGGTTGTGCTTCACAGATTCTGCAGTGATATGTTCAAAAACCCAGTGGGCCACTCGATTTCTTCTATCATAACTTAAAACATAATCATCAAAAGATCTTACATTATCCAAGCTTGGAAATCCATATTTCATTATCTGCAACAGGCAAAATAATTAAATTGGTAAGATTTTTGTATCATAATATTAAGTACTTGAGAGACTCTGCTGACATTAGTTTGTGGTGCATCTGGTATTAAGACAGGAGATGCTGCTGATACAGTTCCAAATAAAGGCAACCCAGGACGTCTTTTTATCTTAATATTATTATAATTATAAAACTTATGTGTTTGAAAATGAGTTCCTGCCAAAAAGCCACCGACCGCAACGGATCCAAAAATTATAAAGTTTCCCACCTTTTTTGTAGTCATAATAATGAATTGGGATACACCACAATTCGACTGATTAGTTCTACGAAACCAACAGATCACTACGAATGTTGGTTTATTATGTGAAAAAATATATATAACCTAAAAAGTAAATTCTTCTTTTTCACTTACAACTTTCCTACAATAATTGGACACCAGAGCATTCGGGACCATTCAGCCACCAAGCGCCCAGTGAATAAAGAAACCGGAGGAACCATACCACACAAATTCACTCAAAGAACCACTAGACTTCCACAACTATGACAAATAGTTATTAAACTTAAAAAATACAATACGCTTGCTAAATTGTATTTTTTTTAATTAAGCCCAAATAGTTATTAAACTTAAAAAATACAATACGCTTGCTAAATTGTATTTTTTTTAATTAAGCCTTATTTGGCCATTGTTCCATAGGACAACTCGGTCAGTTTAAAATCGGTTTTTAAACTTTCTTTGGTTTCTTAATTATGTAAATATTTTCTTCTTAGATATGATATCTGAGGATATTGGAATCCATATAAAATCTCGCGTTTTGCAAGAAATTGCTAAGGTTAATAACTAGTTATTCTGTGGACACTACTTTTCTTTCGTAATTGACTAATTTTACAGCGGTTAGCTAATAAATTGGAATGAAGGACAAAAAAGTACGCCATAAAGGGTGTCCCAAAAATTGACATTCCTTAAAAAATTAAATGGTGAAAACTCTTTTTTATGTATTTTACATTATCTCCTGAAATTCAATTATTTAACAACAAAACCATACAAGTCCCTATACCCAGCGGCAACAGGTTTAAGTGAATAAATGATACTTCTTAATGGTAGAGTCAAATTTGTAGCGCTGCATTAAAAAAGAGTTTTTATTGAGATCATCAGTAATAGTTCACCCCTGGAAATAATTAAATAGGTAGTTTGCTACACAAAAAGTTTTAATAAAGTGGTATTTTTCTAAAAAAAAATAATGACATATTTTTTTCTGAACTACGGGAATGAAATAAGCATCATCAATGAACAATTACAAATTTTCGTGTTTATTGGAACACTATGACTTGTGGGTACGTATGTACAACACTTACATTAATTGCGACATAGTTTTTCTCCTTTCTAAAGGTTCTGCGAGATGTTTGTTCAATTTTTTTCAATTTGTGTTTATTTGGTGTCCAGATTTTCCTGAAAAAATTGCAGAACTTGCAGAAAATTCCACATTTTTCTTAGTAATAAGAAATTGTGGTCCTTGGTTAGAACTAAGTAATCATTTTTGTCAAAATTGTTGTTTTATTGTACTTAAATTACTGTTAACATAATTTTTAAACATACAAATAAAAGCGAACCCACTTTAAAAAGATAGTACAAAAATCAATTAAGCAATTTATGCTAAAAAATGTTATATTAATGTATGGATTAAGTAATATTGTTTATATTGTCTTGTTTATCTCTTGGTTTAATAATTTTTTAAAATTTCGTTATACATCAGATTAAAAATATTTTTTTTAGTTGAACCTATATACTATCTAAACCTACTGAAGTTTTCAATTAAAATAGGTTATTGCTTGATAACACAGGCACTTTTAAAACCTAAACCAAAAAATGTTGAGGACAATTCGTGAAATCGACAGTCATTAGTATTTACAATTTTCTGAATACCTATTGGTTGTTGATAAAGCTGTGGAAAAAAAATTAACAGTTTTTACAATTTTTGGTATTATTTCCCCAGATACCTTTAAAATTTTAGGGGAAAAGGAGTTAAGTGCGTCGATATCGCTGTTTGAAAAGAAATGGCGCAAAGTGCAAGGCACATTTGAAATTTATATGAGTTACATATTTATAGCGTTGATAGATACTACCTATCCCAAACTTCCATAAAACAAAATTATTGCAAAATGCCAAACTGGCGCCGGTTGAATACTGCAGAAATAAGAAGAAGAGAGATATAGTTTTGAATACAATTCATTAACGTTTTTTCGGGGATAGGTGTGCAAATTGTCTGAAAAAGCTAATTAAAATGAGAATAGTAACAAAAAAGAGCTTTGCTACATTGGCAAGTCATGAACATTCAACTTTGATGTGGTGACGATCCTATCTCACCGTAAAAATTTAATTACTACGTGTCCTGATAATAACAGGCGTGTCTCACGTGTTCAACCTGCTTCCTCTACTTTTGAAAGTTTATGTCAATAGCAGATCCTGCTGTTTCTTTTCTTCGATTGAAGCGATAACCCTATTCTATTGTGCTATTGATACTATTTCTGGGATTAGGGAATTGGAAGTTCTCCTTGGTATTCAGTTTTCTTATATACCCCATATATCAACCAAAAGAGCGGGAGCAAGGCTAGTTCTTGACAGACTGCAGAGATTGGCTTGCCTCTGCATAAAGGGCGCCATGAGAACGGCGCCCACGAGGGCCCTGGAGGCTCTGGTGGGGCTGCCCTCTCTGGCGGATCGGGTGCAGATGGAGGCGGCCAGGACAGCTGTGAGGCTGGCGAGCTGCGGGCTCTGGAGGGAGGGAACCTTCAATCGGGGTCCGTACGACATTTTAGAGGGCTGTCGCGGGGATCGCGGGGATCGCGGGGTCATGGGCATGCCAAGTGACGTCATGATCCCCGAGATGACCTTCTTTGATAAATTGACCTTTCTCTTTCCATCAAGGGAAGATTGGAGAGAGGGCAGAGTCGGCTCCTGGGATGGACTTGTCTGGTACACGGACGGGTCCAGAATGGGAGATCTGGCCGGAGCTGGAGCGTACTGCGAGACAACGGGATCAAGCTTGTCGGTCCCTCTGGGTCAGTACTGCACTGTGTTTCAGGCGGAAATTTTCGCTTTATTGATGGCGGCCAGATAGGTGCTTCGGCTCAACTACGGAAGCAGGAGAGTCTTCTTCTGCTCGGATAGTAACAAAACGTAAATAAGTTACGATATATCTTGTGAAACGACGAATCAAATTTGTTAAATGCTGGAATTTATAATCCAAAAAATCATCATTATTGATGAATTTATTGCTAGTACATTCGCGCGGTTTACAAGTTCGATTCAGTTTTAATGTTTGGTGCATTATAATTGGTTCTCGCATTTTTGGTCCATATTTTTACGATGGCAAACTGACCGGTGATGTCTGGATGGTTTTCTAGATGAGCCTGACCTCATAAGTAGGCAGAATCGTCATTTCTAACAAGATGGCGCTTAAGCTCATAACTTCCGAGGCATATATGAATTTTTGACAACCATTTTCAACAGTAAATGGATTGCTACAATCGGACCTACTGCTTGGCTTCCTAGGTCACCAGATAAAATCCCACTTGATTTCTAGTTGTGGGGTTACCACACCAGATAGATGTGACAACAATAGTAGAGACAATTATCTCAATAGACAATCGTACTCAAAAATGTATTGAAGTACGCGGTGCGGTTTTTGAATCACTTTACTAGTTAATCATAAGTTAATTAGGCTTTTTAGTTTTTTTTCTTCAATTCCCTTATTTTTATGTTTCTTGCGTTAAAAATAAATGGAAAATGAAGTTTTATTTCGCAACCGCTCATAGCCATCTAGTCTAAAAGAGAAATATGCTGATAATTGGGTTATTTTCAATTTTAGGCCTTGTTAGCACTTCGACTGGCTAACAAAAAAAAAACTTGAAAGAAAAAGATAACTAAGGATGGTCAGACTATAATTGTACTCGGTGATTCACTACTCGAAAGTTGTTTAAAGTTGGGGAGTTCGTCCTATTTCTGCCCTGGCCACCCAGTTGGTGAGCGGGTGGGTAAAACGTAAGCAAAATTAGAGAGATTTTGGCGCCACCCGTTTTTCACCGGACGTAGCTCCTCGAATAGTGAAAAACTGATTTATTACAAAACGGGAAACGAGGAATATTGGCTACAAAAAAAAAGTCTAGGGCTTAAGTTAATAGCAAGCGTCTATTGTTATTGAACAAAGTCTCCAAAAGAAAAAGGGGAAAAACCAAAATTACGAGTGTTGTGTTATATAAAGCATAAGCTACCAAAGTTATAAATAATCGTTTCAGCTTTACAGTCTTGAGCGCTCAATCCTTACATAAGCCCGCCGCATAACAGGCATGTAATACACAAAAGCTCAAAATCAATCAATCAATCCGCTGTAGAACAGTGTAAAATACTCACAAATACCAAATTTTAGTGCTATTGCTCTATTTTCCTCTGGTGGATGTTAATCAGCATGACTGTCTAGAACATTCTGGAATGGACGGTCCTCAGTCTCAAAGGTCGTCGAGACACAAACTTCACCTTTCACCTTGGGCGACCTTCTTGGAGGTATTGACAAAAGAAAATGCCTGTCGCTGGATGTCCGAACAAACTAGTGCTTATTATTTTGATAGGCCATTTATAGTGCCCGGAAATAAAAGGCCAGGTTGTTAGTGGCTTTCCTCGCTAGTTATCGGAGTTGTTTAAATTTGCGTAACCCAATATATTCAAATCCACAAAACGTGATATCAACTGAATCAACCTTAAAATATGAGCTTGTTTCTTTTAATATTGAAAATAACAAAAAAAAAAACACAAAAAGATTTCATTGGTTGAGGAAAAGCATCCAATCGATTCGATATTCCCTGGCGATGACAGACGGTCGCAACTCTGGTCACTTCCGGACGAACTGAACGTTATTGATTGACATTTGGCTTGCGATCGATTAAAATTTTTTCGTGAATGAAAGATGATCCAACGCAGCATGACAACATAGGTAAGTTGCTTTCCTTTACTTTACGCGAGAGTGCTTTGGCTTTGAAAGTTCTAACCTTAATTGTGTTTGTTTACATTGTAGCTGAGATAAGTAAGAATTTAATTGGGATTCCGATCGCTACCCCATTTAGAAAGTACGATCAGTGATTCCGGGACAACGTATCGCAAGTAGTAATTTAAATTTGCTTCCAAGCGTAAGGTTAAATATGTTTGCAATTTGGATTGGAAACCTCGATGTCGCCGGTGAAATTTGACACAACCAATTATTATGAACACCTGACTGAACTTGAGGTAAGTGCAAGGTGCAAAAATAGTATGCCTAAAACTGACTTATAAACATGCTTTTCTTTTTTTTTTAGTGTTTTACTTGCGCATGCACCATTTGTGTTTAGATGGACGAGAAGTAAAGACGAGACGTGAGCTAGAATATAGAGGAGATGAAACTAATTACTGGATTAAATTTAGATATTTAACTAAAAGCAATTTTCTGATTTGGGGTAATTCTAGCCTGTAACAGCTTATAACCTTTTTTCTGTCGGTGATTTTCAAACGATAGGGTAAAAAAATATAGAGGGTGTCTGATTTAAAAAGAGTACGTTTACCAATGATGAGATCAGTGTGTATATACATTTTTTCTCCCAAAGTAATTTGAATTGGGGTGGGCTTCGTTTCAGTTTCTGTAACTAAACAAATAAATTTTTGATGGAATTGAATGATTTATTTTTGATTAAACTCTTCCCCCCGCATCTTCATAATTTTAAAAAGGAATTATTAAACATCAGTGTCAGGCGGATGCGGTAGCGGTAGGCTAAATTAAACCCTACCAATCGAAAATTCGACCCTATAAATGACTCAAGAGGCTTTCCATACAACCATTTTTCTTTTATCCAACGGTCGCGTCCCGGTAGCGCTATGAATTGAATCGGCAACCCCCAATGCTTAATATTTTATATATTCTCCTTAACGGTAGAAATTGATCTTACATAATGGCATTTTTTGCCGTTGCTTTTGTCCCTCTCGGAGATAAACGTTGACCTTTGTAACTTGGGAGTTTTATTGGCCCGGATTAAGAAGAGCTCGTGTGCCGGTCAAACTGGTTTATAAATATTCCATTACTCCTTCATTTTTTGTGGATTTCTTGCTTGCTTTGCTTTGTTTTCAAACGCCTGAAAGATTTAAGGACAACGTCAAATACAAAACTTGTCTAGAACATAGCAAGCTATTTTCGCGATATAAGAGTGTATTATACGCCTAATAAAATCCCCAAAAAATTAGAATTTGTAATTTAAAAAACAAAATGTCTGATTATAACTGACAGTGACAGTTTCCAGTTACAGATTTAGCATTGGAAAGAGATGGTTTGTTTCCGTGAAAACATTTCCAAAGTGGCATTTTAGCCATGGTCTTTATGATACAATGGGGAAGTGAAGCGACTCTTATAGCCTCTCTTTCTCAAAAGTCAACCTCACCTCCACGTGGTGCGCCCTGCTAATACAGACGAGGCTCTGACGACCGAGTCACGGCGGTATAACCGTTCTCTCAAGACTCAGAAAATGCAGTCCTCTTAATAGACCCTTCTCAACCCGCATTGGACCAGCGTGAGAAGGTGGGGTCCAAAACCTTCCACAAATGGAAGTGTCGAACTTTAAAACAAATATACCCCAGGCAAGTAGAGCTAAAAGCTTAGAATCTCGCACTGAAATGTCAGTCTGCCCCACGGATTCTGGGGGGGCCAAAAATTCGATCAACACTAAGAAAAGAAGCAACTCAAACAAAACTCTATATGCTGGAGCATATAATATCTGCACTATGAGAAGTGAAGAACAGCTCGCCTGCTTAGAACACGCACTAAAGAACATAAAATGGGACGCCCTTGGAATTAGTGAAACGAGGCTAAAAAGCGAAACGACTACCATCCTTAGATCAGGGCACCTCCTATTCCAGAAGAACTCGGAAACAAATTCACATATCGGCGGCGTAGCTCTGCTAATTCACAAAAGAAAGAAACACCTAGTCAACAAGACTAAATCTATATCACACAGAGTGATATACGTGACCCTCAAGTTGAACGCAATTATCAGTCTTCAAATTATCTGTGCATATGCACCTACTTCCACATCGACCGATGAGGAATTAGAACAATTCTATGAAGATTTATCTACTGCCAAATACTCAGAAAACTCCACCTTATCTATTATACTTGGCAATTTTAACGCCAAGATAGGAGGCAAATCCCCAGCAGACCCACGCTATATCGGACATTTCGGTCTTGGAACATGAAATCAGAGAGGACAAACAATGCTGAATTTTCTTAACAAAGAACGTTTATATTGCATGAACACATTTTACAAGAAAAATCCGAAGAGAATCCTTGTTTCGAATAACCGAATGTGCTCAGACGTCTCAGTTATCAATCGGTTTAACACTGGTAGCGACCATAGGCTAGTTAGAGCAAAGCTTCATATTAACACTAGATTAGAAAGGAAACGCAAAATGGAAAGAAATATTCAACCCGCCATAAGCGAGCTAAGTCAGAAAGAGAAGGAGTTCAACCAATGCATAAACGCGAAACTACCAACAGGAGAGTTAAGATAACTGGAATTAAACGAACTCTCGACAAAAATTACCAGCAGTATTCGAACAGCAGTAAAGAAAGTTATTGGACTAAAAAAACACAAAAATTCGAAATTCAGCCTAGAAACAGAAAAACTTATAGAAGAACGCAGAAACACCAACAGAGGCTCACAGAACTACAAAGAACTCAACAAAAGAGTTAAGAAGGCAATCAGAAGAGGTCAAAGGATGCAGAATACAAAACTGATCGAAGAGACTATCAAAAACAACGGGAACATGAGAGTTCTTCGTTCTAGACAATCGAAAGGCAAACTAACCATCCAGAAAATGAATAATAGCCGAAGAGAAGTTGTAACTGAAATGGATAAAATTATCAGAACAGTCGAATACTTCTATCGGAACCTATACAGTGAATCAATAGCAAAGCCAAACCAAGATCGATATGACAAGACAAACTCTATTATGAACGTAGGATCAGAAGAATTGGAACCTGTCGATAATGGCGAAATGGAAGCATCTCTGAAACAACTCAAAAACTGTAAAGTGCCAGGAGAGGATCAAGTCACAAGCGAGATGCTTAAAATGGGCGGAGAGACACTCAAAAAAGCACTCATAATCCTACTGAATAAATGCCTCGAGGAAGGTAGGATTCCAGAATCCTGGAAAAATGCAGAAGTCGTTCTTCTTTTTAAAAAAGGCGACAATACGAACATAGAAAATTACAGGCCAATTAGTCTGCTATCTGTTTTTTATAAGCTGTTAACCAAAATCATCATAAACCGCCTGATCCAAAATTTTGATATCTACCAACCAGTAGAACAAGTTACAACACCATCGACCATATCCAGACAGTACGCACGCTGATAGAGAAATGTACGGAATACAATGTCCCACTCCACATGGCCTTTATAGACTAAAAGAAGGCGTTTGATTCAATCGAAATCTGGGCAGTGATGAATGCAATGAACAATGCCCGCGTAGACTGGATATATACTCTATACGAATTTGAAAAAGAAGGTCTACAATATGTGTATCCTCCCAGTAACAACATACGGACTCGAGACTTACAGTGGGCAGTGCAAATCGACTCTGAGTCTGTCAAAGAGCAATAGAGAGAGCAAGACTGGGTGTAAGCCTAAGAGAGAGGATCAGAAACGAAGAGATAAGGAGAAGAACAAGGGTCTGTGACGTTGTAGAGCGGATAGTGAGTCTCAGGTGGCGTTGGGCAGGACACGTTGCTAGAAACAATTTGAAATGGACCAAAACACTAATGCAATGGCGTCCAAGGAGAACGAAAAGAAGTGTGGGGCGTCCTCAAGCGAGATGGATAGATGACATTCAACGACATGCTGGGAAAAACTGGATGCAAACCGCACAGCAAAGGTTGGCATGGAAATCACTGGAATAGGCCTATGTCTAGGAGTGGATGTCTAGAGGCTGAAGAAGAAGAAAATACCTGAGTTGCGGTTAAGATTGTTTGGTCGCTTATAGGTAGTAGGAGAATTGACAACATGCAAGAATTTTACTTTTATCGAGAAAAAAAATTATGTCCGGTTTGTTGATTGTGTGTGGCAATTGCTAATGAGTTTATTTTTCTTAAGGCTCTTTCATGTTCTTTGAACCTAGTTGTTATTTTTCGTCCGGTCTCTCCAATGTATTCGTTGCCGCATATGCATGTAGTGTAGATTTTTGGAAAAGTGGTAAATATGATTTTGTTGTTATAATTATTAAGAACTTTTGAATGTAAGGAAGGACAACAGTATCAAGTGTGAGGTTGCTCTAGGACTCATCGCCTTTGGAAGATTGTGGTATTTTGTGATGGAACGCTTAATATTTCTAATGTGGACATCATTATTATTATAAGAAACTGCCACATGCTACTGTAATACTTTTTACAAAACCTCTGGATTCCCCCTGCGTCGGTTTTTGTTGAGTCAAACTTGCTGACGTTTCGCCAATCATCCTGTTGACACTTTAGTTCTATGGAATAAAATTTGATATCCGGTTTCGTGATTGTGTTCGGAAGCTGCTGATGAGTATATTGGTAATAGTCTCAAGGCTCATTCATGTTCTTTGAGCCTAAGTGATATTTTTCGCCCGGTTTCTCCAACATATTCTTTAGCTTAGATGTATGGAATGCTGTAAACTCCTGGCATCTCAAATGGATTTTTGTCTGTGATAGATTGAAGATGTTGAGAGGTTTTTAGACAAGTGGTAAATCTGGTTTTGAGGTAATGTAAGGAAGGACAACAGTGGCAAGTGTGGGATTGCTTTAGGCTTCATTGCTATTGGATGGTTGTGGTGAAGTGTATTTTGTGATGGAACGTATAATAACTTTAATGTGGAAATTATTAGAGAGAAGAGCAGATCTAAGGTGTTTTATTTCTGGGATCAGTGACTTGGGCTGACATAGATAGATATAGATAGGCTCTCTGTAAACAAGAGAGTTGATAACCAACGACTTTTGGGCCTTGTCCTTCTCCTTGCCCAACTTAAATATCTTATTTTCAAAACCACATATCAAAAGTTCTTAAGAAATATAACGTCAAAACCAGATTATCCAAAAATCTCTCAACATCTTCGATCCGTCAAGGACAAAATTCCGTTTGAGATACCAGGAGTTTACAGCATTCCATGCGGCAATGGATACTTTGAAGACTCGAAGAATATCAACTAGCCGGATATCAAATTTTATTCCATAAAACTTAAATTCTTGCACGTCATCAATCCTTCTACGGAAAATCCGAGAATCTTTAGAAATCTATAAGCAACCAAACAATCTTAACAGCCACTTAGGTCTTTACTTTTTTCTTCAATATGGGAATCAGTCATCCGAGACAGTGTTCATGACCTTACTTTAGCTCCACGGCCTCAAACAATATATAAGTAGGTATAAACCAACGCAGTAGGAATTCAGAAGTTTTATATTAAATACTATAAATTACTATAAGAAAATAACCCTCAAAGGCTTTCAGTTCTTGAAATCGGTGGATACATTTAGACACGCAAACATTTGAAATAAAAAAAAAAGAATATTTCGGAAACGGTAACACAGTGGCGGCCAGCTAAATAATAATTTATACTCCAAACCAATAATCGTTTGTAAAACAATTAAACAATTTTTTTCTCAAAAATCAATATCCGACAAATGAAAAACAAATTCTACATATTTAATTTTTACAATACAAAAAGCAGGTATTTAGTCGGAAAATTTCTTCTACCGCTGTAGCTATTGCA